TTTTGGGGGGATTTTGGGGTTTTAAAGGGATTTTTTGGGGAGATTTAGACGGATTCTGGGAGGAATTTTTGGGTGGTTTTGGAGGGATTTGGGGGAGTTTTGGGGATAATTTGGGGATATTTTGGGGGTATTTTGAGGGGTATTTCAGGGGCATTTTGGGGTTATTTTGGAGAATATTTTGGGTGTATTTTGGGGAGTATTTGTGGAATATTTTTTGTGTATTTTTGGTGTATTTTGGCTGTATTTTGGGTCTGTTTTGGGGGGTATTTGCTGTTATTTTGGGTGTATTTTAGGTGCTTTTTGGGAGGTTTTTTGGGAATATTTCAGGGGTATTTCAGAAAATTTGGGGATGTTTTGGGGAATATTTTGGCTGTATTTTGTGTACATCTTGGGGAGTATTTGGGGATATTTTGGGGAACATTTGGCTGTATTTTGGCTGCATTTTGGGGATATTTTGGGGTTATGTTGTGTCTATTTTGGGGTGCATTTTGGCTGCATTTTGGGGAGTATTTGCTGTTATTTTGGCTGTGTTTTGGGGGGTATTTTGGGGGAATTTGGGAGTATTTTGGGGAATATTTTGGGGATATTTTGGGGAACATTTTTCTGTATTTTGTGTACATCTTGGGGATATTTTGGGGATATTTTGTGTACATCTTGGGGATATTCTGGGGATATTCTGGGGATATTTTGGGGATATTTTGTGTACATTTTGGGGATATTTTGGGGATATTCTGGGTATATTTTGGGGATATTTTGGGGAACATTTTGCTCTATTTTGTGTACATCTTGGGGATATTTTGGGGATATTTTGTGTACATCTTGGGGATATTTTGTGTACATCTTGGGGATATTCCGGGGATATTTTGTGTACATTTTGGGGATATTTTGTGTACATTTTGGGGATATTTTGTGCACATCTTGGGGATATTCCGGGGATATTTTGTGTACATCTTGGGGATATTTTGGGGATATTTTGTGTACATTTTGGGGATCTTTTGTGTACATCTTGGGGATATTTTGGGAATATTCTGGGGATATTTTGGGGAACATTTTTCTGTATTTTGTGTACATCTTGGGGATATTTTGGGGATATTTTGTGCACATCTTGGGGATATTCCGGGGATATTCTGGGTACATTTTGGGGATATTTTGGGGAACATTTTGCTCTATTTTGTGTACATCTTGGGGATATTTTGAGAATATTTTGTGTACATCTTGGGGATATTTTGGGGATATTTTGTGTACATCTTGGGGATATTCCGGGGATATTTTGTGCACATCTTGGGGATATTTTGGGGATATTTTGTGCACATCTTGGGGATATTTTGTGCACATCTTGGGGATATTCCGGGGATATTCTGGGGATATTTTGGGGATATTTTGTGTACATTTTGGGGATATTTTGTGTACGTCTTGGGGATATTTTGTGTACATCTTGGGGATATTTTGGGGATATTTTGTGCACATCTTGGGGCTATTGCGGGGATATTCTGGGGCTATTTTGGGGATATTTTGTGCACATCTTGGGGATATTTTGTGCACATCTTGGGGCTATTCTGGGGATATTCTGGGGCTATTTTGGGGAACCTTGTGCTGTTTTTTGGGGTGACCCGGCGGCCCCCAGGGCTCTGTGTCGGAGCGCGCGGGCTGGGCGCTGCGCTGCCTCAACCTCCTGAGCATCCTCTGCTTCCCGGCCGCCGTGGTGCTGCTGCTGCCCTCCGTCACCCCGGGTGAGCCTCGGGCGGGGCTGGGACCCCCCAAATTTGGGGATCCCCCCCAAAAAACGCCGCTGAGCTCCCCCTGACCCCCCTCAGTGGGCGCCGCCTTGGCGCTGGGCGTGCACACCGTGCTCTTCCTCAAGCTCTTCTCCTTCCACCACGTCAACGAGTGGTGCCGGCAGCGCCCCCGGAACGCGCCCAAAACACCCCAAAAACCCCCCGAGGGGGGGGAGGAAGGTACCGGGGGGGGCCGGGGGGTCCCACCCAGCCCCAATTTTGGGTGGGGGGCTCACCCAGGGGTCCCCAGCCCGCAGAGCCAACGGGGACCTGGCGCGCGGGGAGGTGGAGTACCCGGAGAACCTCAGCTACCGCAGTGAGTGCGGGCTCCAAACGCCCCGAAATGTCCCCGAAAGAGCCCCGAAATATCCCCGAAATATCCCCGAAATATCCCTGAAATATCCCTGAAATATCCCTGAAATATCCCCGAAATATCCCTGAAATATCCCCAAAGTATCCCTGAAATATTCCCAAAATATCCACAAAGTATCCACAAAATATCCCTGAAATATCCCCGAAATATCCCCGAAATATCCCTGAAATATCCCCGAAATATCCCTGAAATATCCCCGAAATATCCCTGAAATATCCCCAAAATATCCCTGAAATATCCCTGAAATATCCCCGAAATATCCCCAAAATATCCCTGAAATATCCCTGAAATATCCCCGAAATATCCCCAAAATATCCCTGAAATATCCCTGAAATATCCTTGAAATATCCCCAAAATATTCCTGAAATATCCCTGAAATAGCCCCAAAATATCCCCAAAATATCCACAAAATATCCACAAAATATACCCAAAATATTCCTAAAATGTCACCAAAGTATCCCCGAAATATCCCCAAAATATCACCAAAGTAGCCACAAAATATACCCAAAATATCCACAAAATACCCCCAAAATATCCCCAAGATATCCCCGAAATATCCCCAAATTATCCCTGAAATATCCCCAAAGTATCCCCAAAATATCCCCAAAGTATCCACAAAATATACCCAAAATATCCTCGAAATAGCCCCGAAATATCCCTGAAATATCCCCAAAATATCCACAAAGTATCCCCGAAATAACACCAAAATCACCCCAAAATATCCCCGAAATATCCCCAAAATATCCCCAAAGTATCCACAAAATATGCCCAAAATCACCCCAAAATATCCCTGAAATGTCCCCAAAATATCCACAAAGTATCCCAAAATATTCCCAAAATATCCCTGAAATATCCCAAAATTACCCCAAAATATCCCCAAAATCACCCAAAAATACCCACAAATATCCCCAAAATCACCCCAAAATATCGCCAAGATATCCCCAAAATATCCCCAAAATCACCCCCAAATATCCCTAAAATCCCTCCCTAAATCTGTCCCAAAATCCCCCAAATTCACCCCAAAATCCCCCTTAAATCTGCCCAAAAATACCCCAAATTCACCCCAAAATGTCCCAAAATCACCCCAAAAAATGCCCCAAAATCCACCTAAAATACCCCAAAATCCTCAAAAAGTCCCTCCTTCAAATTTCCCCCAAATCCTCCCAAAATGTCCCAAAAATCCCCCAAAAAATCCCCCGAAATCACCCAAAAATCCCCCTAAAAATCCCCCTAAAAATCCCCCAAAAATCTTCCGAAAATGTCCCCAAAATTCCTCCTGTAACCCCAAATTCTCCCAAAATGGGGTTTGGGGCTGTTTTGGGGTGTTTTTAGGATTTTTTGGGGGTGGTTTTGGGTTTTTTGGGGGGTTTTTGGGGTTGTTTTTGGGGTGTTTTTGGGGTTGTTTTAGGGTTGTTTTTAGGGTTTTTTTTGGGGGGTTTTGGGATTTTTTGGGGTTTTTTTGGGTTGTTTTTGGGGTGTTCCTGGGGTTTTTTTGGAGGTTTTGGGGATGTTTTGGGGGTTTTTGGGATTGTTTTTGGGGGTTGATTTTGGGGGTGATTTTGGGGTTGTTTTTTGGGGTGTTTTGAGGGTGTTTTGGGGTTTTTTTTTGTTTTTTGGGGGTGGCTGTGGGGTTGTTTTTGGGGTGATTTTGGGGAGTGTTCCTGTGGGTATTTTTGGGGTGTTCTCAGGGTGTTTTTGGGGAGTTCCTGGGGTTTTTTCAGGGTGTTTTCAGGGTGGTTTTGGGGTTTTTTCCAGGGTGTTCTCAGGGTGTTTTGGGGGTATTTTTGGGGTGTTCCTGGGGGTATTTTTGGGGTTGTTTTTGGGGGCTTTGTCATTTTTTTTTCAGGGTATTTTCAGGGTGTTTTTGGGCTGTTTTTGGGGATTTTTTCAGGTTTTTTTTGGGCTGTTTTTGGGGATTTTTTCAGGGTATTTTTGGGCTGTTTTTGGGGATTTTTT